ATGATTTGTATCTGATGTCATCTGTTCCTGGAGAACCCTCATTCTTTGTGTACACCCACTGGCACCCTATCACTCACTTTCCCTTCTACAATTTAATGAGCTCTCAAATATGATTCTTGTGAATATAATTCATTTCCTGATTTGTGGCGTTTTTCCATTCCCTGCAATTACAATTGTTGATTGCCTCCTAGAATGTTGATGACTCATCACCCACCATGATAAGTGCATAAGATAGCACATCTTCAAATTCATAATGAATTGGTGATTTGACTGTCCTTTTGGCCCTCCCAATTACTAAAGATGGTTGTTGTGGTTGCTCTTCTGATGTCCCTTTGTCTAGAATAATATCTTCTGGAGTACTAAGTTGCACCTCCACAAGATCACAATTTTTATCCTTTATCTGAATATCCTTCAGCTTGTTGGAAGTTACCATAACAGACTCATCAAATGTCACATCCCTGCTGATCACAAACTTTTGCAATTCAGGCCATCAATTACTACAATTGCATCACTTCTAAAAACACCTTTGTCTTCATTAAGAGTAAGAGTCTTTCATACGCCAATCTTTGCCTACAAGTGGTGCAAATAAAAAACAAAAGTGGTGCAAATACCACTTTTAGAATTTAATTGAAATGAATTATCCTAATATCGCACTTCAAATAAAATCATTATAAAAATAAATTGCATAACAAAAATCCCCACAACTAGTAAAAAGCTTAAAAAATAATCAACAAATGAAACTTTAGGATACAAAAAAGAGAGAAAGAGTGCATACATTTCTTAGATTCCATTTGTCTCATCTTAATGAAGCAACAAACCACTGGTGCACAAACATTCTAATACCAAACAAACAACAAGAAAAAACATGATGGCGTCCAACCCAATTGATATTGAAATAAGAATTAAGCATATAAATGCTAAGCCACAACCTAGATCAAAACAACATAAATTCAGTTCACTCAAACCAAATTTTAGTCATAAATTAAGATTGAAGTATGTGGTATCCAATACATTTCCTATAAAAAAAAATTGAAAACAAATCAATTAAATCCACCAGGTGTTGATTTACTATGACATTTACCAACTAATTGGGACAGTTCAAAAGATCTAGTTGAAAACCAAGTATATTAACAATGTTACCCTAAGGATTGAAGATGCTAAGACTGATCAAGTCTTTTCTGCAAGTGTCGAGTTGGATATTAGTGCTTTTTATTTCCTTAAAACTTTTTCAGCAACCAAAACCAACCCTAAACTATCACACACAGATGCATAAAATTATGTATGTATGAATTTTATATAATTGGAATGGGAATTGAAGATATTATTGTAGGGACCTCGATTATTGGGTGTAGTCAAATAATGTTTGGATGATTAATCTGCTCAAGATATCAATCTCTACAATGAAAAACTAATTTACATGCTCAATCCTTATCTTGAGCACTATTGATGAAAAAAACCATGTTCATCACTTTCATGATTAATCTCCACTATCCAACTCTGGTCCTACGTTTATTGTAGCCGCCAACATTGATGGAAAAAGGAGCAACTATGGCCTGAATATCAAATTGTAGTAGCTATAGAGTGAAAACATGGAAAAATAAATAAATAAATAAAGCCATTGAAATAAAGAGCAGTTGTATCATCTAGTATTAAGCTACTTCAAGGAATCTGAAATTTACGAGATGATTCATCTTCTAAAATGGTAACTCAAGCAGCCACTTTAAATTAACTAGCAATGCAACACGTGTTGCACGTGAAAGTTTTCCTTAAAATACATAAAAATTTAATTATATAATTAAATTAGATATTATCTAATATTTATCATACTTAAATTATTTGTATTGTAGATAAAGATAAAAAAAAATACATATATCGATTTTTTGACATCCGAGGTAATATTTTATCAATGAAGCTGTCGATGTGTATTAATATTGGAGTTTTGAAAAAAAAAAAAGATTTACATGATATATTAGAAGTTAGTTTGTTATTTAAATATATAGGAATATAGTGGTAATCTACATATTTAAATATAAAAAAAATATGTTAGTCTTTATAATTTTTTATAAGGGTAAAATAGTAAATCAAAAGTTTTCATGTAAAGTACTTTTATTGGTTGTATGTATAGATAGATAGATAGATAGATATTTATTTCAAGAATTTGTAGGGTCTAGCATGCTTGTATCTCAACTATCTTTCTAATTGCTAATTCAATTGGAGATGAAGGATAAATGTGACATTAGAGTATCATTCAAGGGTAAAATTGGTAATAAAAAAGAATTCAAGTATCTTAACATTTAAAAGTAGTATAGATATAGATATATGTCAATGTAAATACATATATATATGTAGATTCATAAATCCCCAAAATTGCCCATTTTAAAACATTGGTAACTAACAAATTCAAATCTAGTCAAACACAAAATAATCCTCTCTTAATTAGACTAATTCTTGTTGCCAAACATGAACCGTTCGATACTATATTTGTCTATTGGGTTGGTCAGAGATCATTCAATAAATTTATTGGAAGCAAAACTAAATAGAAATACTAAAAGGTCAATCAGTTGAAGTAGGATCTAGTGTTTCAACAAACTTCTTGCAAGCAAAGCTAAATTAAAATTTTAAAATGGCAATTTGTCAGACCAAGATCAGTGTTGAATAAATTTCTGGCAAAAATTAAATTTTCATAACGGTACATAACCAGTTCTTCTTTAATGTTTCAACGGACTTCCTATATATTGTCAATCCTGGGAAACAAAACATGTCTTTCTTACAAATGGAGAGGAACCAGAGAATTTCTTGATTTGAGGAAGATGACTCAACAGGAATGTTTTCTGCAATCGATAGAACGTGAATCTTACGAAAAAGCTTTACATAGCTGCCTCCTAAACCTATCATTAGCAGCCGGAATGAAAAATTCTATGCGAAAACGTAAGATGTTTTTGCTGGTTCGTTGTCATATATCCTCCATGAGTGGTATTCATAGAAGGTGATTGTCCTATTCATTGCAATGCATTTGGATATGCAAGTTGGAATAAAAAGGGTCTAAGAATTAAACAAGAGTGTCCATTAAAAGTGTGCGTCATTCATAAAGGTGATGATTGTCCATTCATGTGTTGCCATGAACTTCTTGTTCTGCGATTGATGCACATTTGGAATGTGAAGGGTCTTAAACTACAAATAGGAGAGGATATAAATGGCCTTTAAAAATTAGAGTGGCACCCATTACAGATTCTAGCGATGACAATGATGATTTCCTGGATAGCGTTGCAGATTACAGAGATACTAGTCAAAAAAAAATTAGAGTTGGTGCCTCTATTTCTCAACATTGGGCAAAAAAATCGAAAAATAGAACATGTTACAAAAAAAATGAACAGGTTTATTTTATCAAAAATTAATTTCTTGTTCCTTGACACTAATTTGACAAATTTCATTATTTTTCTTAGTGGACTTTGGAAGCTTGAAGATGCTCATCATATACACTTAACACAGAATTCGGATTGAAATCTGGTCAATTGACAGGCTTACCCAATAGGTATGGCAAATCAGAAGGCAATGTATAACTAATACAATTAGTTACTTCCAATAAAAAATGTGAAACGTCCAAAGCAAGAAGCGCCCGTGGCCTAATGGATAAGGCGTCTGACTTCTAATCAGGCGATTGTGGGTTCGAGTCCCACCGGGCGTGTCCACCTTCTTTTTATCACTTGGTCTTCTTTTTCTTTTTCCATTCGAATTAATGTTGCCTGTTAAGTTTTGGGATTATTTTCGATTACATATATTATCAATATTATGGTTTTAATAAAATAGATGATGATTATTGGTAAACTCTTTAATCATGTACATCAAAAAGGAAATTATTGCAAACGAAATCGATAATTTTTTAGAAATGGTATGACATCAAGGTTTATTTATATAGATAATTGAGTTGAACGCATTATGACACAAGTATTGTGTCCGTTCTTTTTGTTTTATATCTTAGTAAGGCTAAGTAATGTTAGATATATTTTTTTATTGGTAATTAACTTTTGATTACTAACTATTTCTAACAATCTACTCTTTTACTCGAGTTAAACATTGGTCACAGAAGATCATTTTGTCAAAATAAATTAGTAAATTTAAATGTGAGGATTAAGTAGAAACTTGATCAAATATTAAAGATTTGATTATTGCAATTGAAACTTTAAGAATCAAATAGAAATTAAGTGTATACTTTAAGGGTGTAAATTGTAGTTTGGCCAAAAATTTATACCAGTGGTAACAGTTTGTGTACTTGATTATTTGATGCTTGTACGTGCATTGCATTCCAGGTGTTTGATAATATGCCTCAATTGAGTGTGTTTGGGGTCTCACGTAATTCTCAAAGGTCTATCTAGTCTCATGTAATTGGACCTCGACTATTCTCGAGCTCAGACTTAACCATACCAAATGGAGCATACCCACTCAGGCTCGTGTCCCTCTTTATAATTTCCCCTTCATAATATTTCATATTGATCTCCAAGGAAAAAAAAGGGGCGTAATTAAGGATATGTTTGGATTTGAGGGTTTGGGCTATGTGGATTTCATCCGAAGACCCAAATTCTCATCACCTGTTTGGATTACTTCTACATTGTGGAAGCTACGAGCAATTCTTTTTTGGCCAATGGAAAATCACCACAATTACGTGTCTCTGACATTCATGGTTATCTCGCATATTTTGATTAACATAAAATAAATCGTGGATCACACATGTCCGAAAAATCAAAACTCTCTACTGAGAGTCAAACTTCAAATCTCGTCACAGTAATCCTTGAAACCAGCTAACCTGAATTGGTTGAAGAGTAACGTTTTACAAACAAACAGATTGCATTTTCAAAAATAAGATTCGAGGAGTAACCGATTTGAAATAGTTGGGACAAGATTCGATTGAATTCAATTGAGTAGGAGCAACTTCAGAGTCAGAAACATTTAGCATGAAAGAAACTAAAAATAAGATGAACACTCAAGACTTTTACGCCCTTGGATTAATAACCAAACATAAAAAATGAGATTAGCATGCTTGCCAATGGAACTGATATGTTATCATCAACCACTCCTGTAGTCGGGAGAGACTCCACCACAGTAGCCACCAAAGAAACCAAAGCAACTCTTCCCATTGCCCCAACCAAATCGAACTGGAAGTATCCAAGGACTGAAAAGTAGTAAAGCATCCTGTGATATAAAGAAAAAATACAATTGCAAGTCAAAATCCATACAGGGCTAGTTAATTTTCTGTCATATATACTGCTTTCTGAATCGAGGGTAGCACTACAGTATCAAAAAGTAGATTTTCGGTACTGTAGTGCTACCCTTGACCAGACCGTTATGAACCTACCCAATGGAAATGGAGAAACCAAATATAAACATGGAGATGCTACCAGCCCAACTTTTTTGTGGATTATAAGGAATTTTTAAGGATCCAAATCTTCTTCCCATGATATCAGCAACACCTACAAAGCACATTGTCAGAATGGGATTGGACAAAGTACTTGAGAAATTAGCAAAGTTCTGATTTTGATCGAGTCCTTACCATCCCCACCACACATCATTGCCAGAGAAATCACGCCAGTGGGCGACTCACGCCAGAAGACAAGAGAACATAAAATCAATATCAAAACATAATACAAAGGACCTCTAAGCAATTCCCTGCGTGGCATAACAATGGAACAGTTATCAAAGTCATCGATGGAGGATAGTTGGAGAAGAAAGTCGTTATGTAATGCAATGAAGAGGGTGATGGGATAATTTACCCTGGATTTCCTTCTCGAGTCACGGATTTTATAAGTCCTTCATCAGTAACCAAGGAGAGGCCATAAATGACAAGCCTTAAGCAATTTATAAGAGGAACTAGGGAAGCAAAGTAACGAGCTTCAGTTGATGTGCTAACCTAGGATTAAAATGATCAGCTGAAGTATTTAAAGAAAGTTTAAATCTCATTCCAGAGAACATTTTTCCACCAACAATGTTGTCTCTGAAGACAAAGCAGATACCTGAAAATTGGCCAGCAAGCCACATAAAGCAACCCGGACAGTATGTGGACCAGTTTTCTGCTCAGGCTCTGCAAAAGGTTTGAATTCGAAGAATGATAACCATAAAGTAACTGAAAATTAAAATTGTCAAACTGAAAGATGATTGTTTTAACTTAAAGAATATCACAGATTCAACATGGAAAGTTCTGTTTTTGATATTTTAATATAGGCAAAAATTTCTTCGTTTAGCCAAGTAATGGTATAAAACCAATAAGCCTTCTCTTCAGAGAAAAATGGAGACAATATAAGTCACTCTGTCCACTCACATATGCACAGCTCAACAATAAAATTCCCTTACATTCTGAGAACCCCGAAAATGTTCCAACAGTTAATTGCTCCATATGGCAACTATTACATAGACGTACCCAACCACAATACTTCATGTTAGTGATTGCCTATAATTGCTAATCGGAACATTGAACGACAAGGGTAGTACAGAATTTTATCTTTTTGCTTCCCTCATTTGAATTGAACCCAAGTACTAAGCCATTTTGAATTTGAAGGAATTGCATTTTGCAGATTCTGTATTTATATACGATATCTATGGAAAAAAATTTGTCAGTTAAGCACATGTTTACAATTACGTGATGATCTCAAGTCAAACAAGACCCTAGCATACAAGCATCATAGGTGCATTTGAGAGACATCAAGATTTCCCAAGGACTTCATGATAAAGATAAAACAGAAACGAATTGCTCTTACAGCATATGCATTCAGTACCAAGCATGATACGCCAACCTCCCCAACACAACACAAACCAATAGTACTGCCTTCTTAAATTAGAAAGATTCTATAAACACATATATGCATTAGTGTTGTCAATTCACAGTTTTTAAGAGGCATGAGGGTCCAAGCAAATAAAATAACAACCATACAGTTGCTTTCTTCACATTGCTAGAAGTGAAGGCATAGTCATGATTGTATATTGTGTATATGACTATAAGCTTTATATGTGCGAATATTTGTTGGTGTCTTGGTAATCAGAACATAGCTATGTGGAGTTTTAAGTATGTATAGTTTTCAAGTGGACAAAGAAATATCCCAAATACATTGTAGACCAAGTGTTTTACAATTCCTCGTCTTTATTGTTTTCATATTAAGCCATGACAGGCTTTTAAAGGTCGGAGGTTGCACCAAGTCGGCTGCCAAACCCATCCTAGCTTATGTATATACACTTCCTAACATGTGCCATTCAATATTTATTCACCATAGCAATCTGTGTGTGGCCACAGATAAAACTCTTTGGAGACGTGCCATTTTGGTCATTTGACAGGAAACGAATGCAAGAACTTTTGAGACTAGGTTTGAAGATGAGAATGCTTCATGATATTAATTCGGTTCTAACCATTTTTGGGTATAGAGGTTGGAAAGGAATGCAAAAATCTCGGATAACAAGTTTGATGATAAAAATGTTTTGAGGGAAAGATTTTGATTCTTGTCAACCTTTTGGGCCTAAGTTACTCCAATATGTTTGTGCTCAGTTATCTTTCCTTAGTTTTTGATTTNTAAGTTGGAATAAAAAGGGTCTAAGAATTAAACAAGAGTGTCCATTAAAAGTGTGCGTCATTCATAAAGGTGATGATTGTTCATTCATGTGTTGCGATGAACTTCTTGTTCTGCGATTGATGCACATTTGGAATGTGAAAGAGGATATAAATGGCCTTTAAAAATTAGAGTGGCACCCATTACAGATTCTAGATGACAATGATGATTTCCTGGATAGCGTTGCAGATTACAGAGATACTAGTCAAAAAAAAATTAGAGTTGGTACAGGATAGAGAAACAATGCCTCTATTTCTCAACATTGGGCAAAAAAATCGAAAAATAGAACATGTTACAAAAANCAAGTTGGAATAAAAAGGGTCTAAGAATTAAACAAGAGTGTCCATTAAAAGTGTGCGTCATTCATAAAGGTGATGATTGTCCATTCATGTGTTGCCATGAACTTCTTGTTCTGCGATTGATGCACATTTGGAATGTGAAGGGTCTTAAACTACAAATAGGAGAGGATATAAATGGCCTTTAAAAATTAGAGTGGCACCCATTACAGATTCTAGCGATGACAATGATGATTTCCTGGATAGCGTTGCAGATTACAGAGATACTAGTCAAAAAAAAATTAGAGTTGGTGCCTCTATTTCTCAACATTGGGCAAAAAAATCGAAAAATAGAACATGTTACAAAAAAAATGAACAGGTTTATTTTATCAAAAATTAATTTCTTGTTCCTTGACACTAATTTGACAAATTTCATTATTTTTCTTGGTGGACTTTGGAAGCTTGAAGATGCTCATCATATACACTTAACACAGAATTCGGATTGAAATCTGGTCAATTGACAGGCTTACCCAATAGGTATGGCAAATCAGAAGGCAAAATGTATAACTAATACAATTACTTACTTCCAATAAAAAATGTGAAACGACCAAAGCAAGAAGNTGTATAACTAATACAATTAGTTACTTCCAATAAAAAATGTGAAACGTCCAAAGCAAGAAGCGCCCGTGGCCTAATGGATAAGGCGTCTGACTTCTAATCAGGCGNAATGTATAACTAATACAATTACTTACTTCCAATAAAAAATGTGAAACGACCAAAGCAAGAAGCGCCCGTGGCCTAATGGATAAGGCGTCTGACTTCTAATCAGGCGATTGTGGGTTCGAGTCCCACCGGGCGTGTCCACCTTCTTTTTATCACTTGGTCTTCTTTTTCTTTTTCCATTCGAATTAATGTTGCCTGTTAAGTTTTGGGATTATTTTCGATTACATATATTATCAANTTTTTTTGTGTTTAAATGTTACTATTTTTTTTAATATTACTATATGTATGTATTAGTCATAACTCGTGCCTCAAGGCATGATGAAACATAAGATCTTAGCGTTCAAAAAANCCACCTTCTTTTTATCACTTGGTCTTCTTTTTCTTTTTCCATTCGAATTAATGTTGCCCGTTAAGTTTTGGGATTATTTTCGATTACATATATTATCAAAATTATGGTTTTAATAAAATAGATGATGATTATTGGTAAACTCTTTAATCATGTACATCAAAAAGGAAATTATTGCAAACGAAATCGATAATTTTTTAGAAATGGTATGACATCAAGGTTTATTTATATAGATAATTGAGTTGAACGCATTATGACACAAGTATTGTGTCCGTTCTTTTTGTTTTATATCTTAGTAAGGCTAAGTAATGTTAGATATATTTTTTATTGGTAATTAACTTTTGATTACTAACATATTTCTTATGTTTGCGTTTAAAAATATGTCCAAACCTTTAATAGCTTATATCAATTAGTAAAAAAAAGATTCATCTTTTTTGTGTTTCTCTTTCAAATTTTCACTTCGTTTTTTTTTTTTTTTTTGGCTTATTAACCTATTTTTCTCAAAATCAAACGAATAAACAATTTTCATTGGGAGTATTGCAATGAATAAGGTTTTCTAACTTGTGCATAAATAACTTCAACAAATTAGAAAGCTTTGAACGTGTATTCACTCTTCTTAAGTAAATTATGCCCCTACTATATTGCTGCTGAGTTTATGGCAAATTCCTCTAGAATTAACAAAGGCAAACATTATTTTAGATAGCAAACTCTAAAATTCTCCTAAAAACAGAATAGAGAAACGTTTTTTTTTTATTGAAGGATCTGTACAAGTATTTATAATACCTTAGAGATGTAAAAGGGAGACACAACTCTTGGGTCAGAGAAATGTAAAAAAGAGACACAACTCTTGAGCCAAAGAGGTGTGTTTTCCTCCAAATCTTCCTATCATCCAAATTTATAAAGTTTGGTATGTTTCTTCTTTTAAACTCTTACACTCCCTTTCAACTTTTCCAACGTAGGATACTTTACATTACTAACTATCTCACATTACTAACTATTTCTAACAATCTACTCTTTTACTCGAGTTACGCATTGGTCACAGAAGATCATTTTGTCAAAATAAATTAGTAAATTTAAATGTGAGGATCAAGTAGAAACTTGATCAAATATTAAAGATTTTATTATTGCAATTGAAACTTTAAGAATCAAATAGAAATTAAGTGTATACTTTAAGGGTGTAAATTGTAGTTTGGCCAAAAATTTATACCAGTGGTAACAGTTTGTGTACTTGATTATTTGATGCTTGTACGTGCATTGCATTCCAGGTGTTTGATAATATGCCTCAATTGAGTGTGTTTGGGGTCTCACGTAATTCTCAAAGGTCTATCTAGTCTCATGTAATTGGACCTCGACTATTCTCGAGCTCAGACTTAACCATACCAAATGGAGCATACCCACTCAGGCTCGTGTCCCTCTTTATAATTTCCCCTTCATAATATTTCATATTGATCTCCAAGGAAAAAAAAGGGGCGTAATTAAGGATATGTTTGGATTTGAGGGTTTGGGCTATGTGGATTTCATCCGAAGACCCAAATTCTCATCACCTGTTTGGATTACTTCTACATTGTGGAAGCTACGAGCAATTCTTTTTTGGCCAATGGAAAATCACCACAATTACGTGTCTCTGACATTCATGGTTATCTCGCATATTTTGATTAACATAAAATAAATCGTGGATCACACATGTCCGAAAAATCAAAACTCTCTACTTAGAGTCAAACTTCAAATCTCGTCACAGTAATCCTTGAAACCAGCTAACCTGAATTGGTTGAAGAGTAACGTTTTACAAACAAACAGATTGCATTTTCAAAAATAAGATTCGAGGAGTAACCGATTTGAAATAGTTGGGACAAGATTCGATTGAATTCAATTGAGTAGGAGCAACTTCAGAGTCAGAAACATTTAGCATGAAAGAAACTAAAAATAAGATGAACACTCAAGACTTTTACGCCCTTGGATTAATAACCAAACATAAAAAATGAGATTAGCATGCTTGCCAATGGAACTGATATGTTATCATCAACCACTCCTGTAGTCGGGAGAGACTCCACCACAGTAGCCACCAAAGAAACCAAAGCAACTCTTCCCATTGCCCCAACCAAATCGAACTGGAAGTATCCAAGGACTGAAAAGTAGTAAAGCATCCTGTGATATAAAGAAAAAATACAATTGCAAGTCAAAATCCATACAGGGCTAGTTAATTTTCTGTCATATATACTGCTTTCTGAATCGAGGGTAGCACTACAGTATCAAAAAGTAGATTTTCGGTACTGTAGTGCTACCCTTGACCAGACCGTTATGAACCTACCCAATGGAAATGGAGAAACCAAATATAAACATGGAGATGCTACCAGCCCAACTTTTTTGTGGATTATAAGGAATTTTTAAGGATCCAAATCTTCTTCCCATGATATCAGCAACACCTACAAAGCACATTGTCAGAATGGGATTGGAC